TATTTTGTTTTGAAAATTCACTGTTGAATTTTGTTTAAGAGGGTTCATTATTTGCCCATAGCTGAGACCCTAACAGATGCTACCACCTCAGGTCAGAGTGTACCAGGGAACCACATCAGTTAAGAGGCAGGTCTACACGGCTAAAAACATCCATTCTCCTAATCTTGTTGTCGGATGTTTATCGTCAAAAGAAGAAGAAGAAGAAGAAGAAGAAGAAGAAGAAGAAGAAGAAGAAGAAGAAGAAGAAGAAGAAGAAGAAGAAGAAGAAGAAGAAGAAGAAGAAGAAGAAGAAGAAGAAGAAGAAGAAGAAGAAGAAGAAGAAGAAGAAGAAGAAGAAGAAGAAGAAGAAGAAGAAGAAGAAGAAGAAGAAGAAGAAGAAGAAGAAGAAGAAGAAGAAGAAGAAGAAGAAGAAGAAGAAGAAGAAGAAGAAGAAGAAGAAGAAGAAGAAGAAGAAGAAGAAGAAGAAGAAGAAGAAGAAGAAGAAGAAGAAGAAGAAGAAGAAGAAGAAGAAGAAGAAGAAGAAGAAGAAGAAGAAGAAGAAGAAGAAGAAGAAGAAGAAGAAGAAGAAGAAGAAGAAGAAGAAGAAGAAGAAGAAGAAGAAGAAGAAGAAGAAGAAGAAGAAGAAGAAGAAGAAGAAGAAGAAGAAGAAGAAGAAGAAGAAGAAGAAGAAGAAGAAGAAGAAGAAGAAGAAGAAGAAGAAGAAGAAGAAGAAGAAGAAGAAGAAGAAGAAGAAGAAGAAGAAGAAGAAGAAGAAGAAGAAGAAGAAGAAGAAGAAGAAGAAGAAGAAGAAGAAGAAGAAGAAGAAGAAGAAGAAGAAGAAGAAGAAGAAGAAGAAGAAGAAGAAGAAGAAGAAGAAGAAGAAGAAGAAGAAGAAGAAGAAGAAGAAGAAGAAGAAGAAGAAGAAGAAGAAGAAGAAGAAGAAGAAGAAGAAGAAGAAGAAGAAGAAGAAGAAGAAGAAGAAGAAGAAGAAGAAGAAGAAGAAGAAGAAGAAGAAGAAGAAGAAGAAGAAGAAGAAGAAGAAGAAGAAGAAGAAGAAGAAGAAGAAGAAGAAGAAGAAGAAGAAGAAGAAGAAGAAGAAGAAGAAGAAGAAGAAGAAGAAGAAGAAGAAGAAGAAGAAGAAGAAGAAGAAGAAGAAGAAGAAGAAGAAGAAGAAGAAGAAGAAGAAGAAGAAGAAGAAGAAGAAGAAGAAGAAGAAGAAGAAGAAGAAGAAGAAGAAGAAGAAGAAGAAGAAGAAGAAGAAGAAGAAGAAGAAGAAGAAGAAGAAGAAGAAGAAGAAGAAGAAGAAGAAGAAGAAGAAGAAGAAGAAGAAGAAGAAGAAGAAGAAGAAGAAGAAGAAGAAGAAGAAGAAGAAGAAGAAGAAGAAGAAGAAGAAGAAGAAGAAGAAGAAGAAGAAGAAGAAGAAGAAGAAGAAGAAGAAGAAGAAGAAGAAGAAGAAGAAGAAGAAGAAGAAGAAGAAGAAGAAGAAGAAGAAGAAGAAGAAGAAGAAGAAGAAGAAGAAGAAGAAGAAGAAGAAGAAGAAGAAGAAGAAGAAGAAGAAGAAGAAGAAGAAGAAGAAGAAGAAGAAGAAGAAGAAGAAGAAGAAGAAGAAGAAGAAGAAGAAGAAGAAGAAGAAGAAGAAGAAGAAGAAGAAGAAGAAGAAGAAGAAGAAGAAGAAGAAGAAGAAGAAGAAGAAGAAGAAGAAGAAGAAGAAGAAGAAGAAGAAGAAGAAGAAGAAGAAGAAGAAGAAGAAGAAGAAGAAGAAGAAGAAGAAGAAGAAGAAGAAGAAGAAGAAGAAGAAGAAGAAGAAGAAGAAGAAGAAGAAGAAGAAGAAGAAGAAGAAGAAGAAGAAGAAGAAGAAGAAGAAGAAGAAGAAGAAGAAGAAGAAGAAGAAGAAGAAGAAGAAGAAGAAGAAGAAGAAGAAGAAGAAGAAGAAGAAGAAGAAGAAGAAGAAGAAGAAGAAGAAGAAGAAGAAGAAGAAGAAGAAGAAGAAGAAGAAGAAGAAGAAGAAGAAGAAGAAGAAGAAGAAGAAGAAGAAGAAGAAGAAGAAGAAGAAGAAGAAGAAGAAGAAGAAGAAGAAGAAGAAGAAGAAGAAGAAGAAGAAGAAGAAGAAGAAGAAGAAGAAGAAGAAGAAGAAGAAGAAGAAGAAGAAGAAGAAGAAGAAGAAGAAGAAGAAGAAGAAGAAGAAGAAGAAGAAGAAGAAGAAGAAGAAGAAGAAGAAGAAGAAGAAGAAGAAGAAGAAGAAGAAGAAGAAGAAGAAGAAGAAGAAGAAGAAGAAGAAGAAGAAGAAGAAGAAGAAGAAGAAGAAGAAGAAGAAGAAGAAGAAGAAGAAGAAGAAGAAGAAGAAGAAGAAGAAGAAGAAGAAGAAGAAGAAGAAGAAGAAGAAGAAGAAGAAGAAGAAGAAGAAGAAGAAGAAGAAGAAGAAGAAGAAGAAGAAGAAGAAGAAGAAGAAGAAGAAGAAGAAGAAGAAGAAGAAGAAGAAGAAGAAGAAGAAGAAGAAGAAGAAGAAGAAGAAGAAGAAGAAGAAGAAGAAGAAGAAGAAGAAGAAGAAGAAGAAGAAGAAGAAGAAGAAGAAGAAGAAGAAGAAGAAGAAGAAGAAGAAGAAGAAGAAGAAGAAGAAGAAGAAGAAGAAGAAGAAGAAGAAGAAGAAAGAAGAAGAAGAAGAAGAAGAAGAAGAAGAAGAAGAAGAAGAAGAAGAAGAAGAAGAAGAAGAAGAAGAAGAAGAAGAAGAAGAAGAAGAAGAAGAAGAAGAAGAAGAAGAAGAAGAAGAAGAAGAAGAAGAAGAAGAAGAAGAAGAAGAAGAAGAAGAAGAAGAAGAAGAAGAAGAAGAAGAAGAAGAAGAAGAAGAAGAAGAAGAAGAAGAAGAAGAAGAAGAAGAAGAAGAAGAAGAAGAAGAAGAAGAAGAAGAAGAAGAAGAAGAAGAAGAAGAAGAAGAAGAAGAAGAAGAAGAAGAAGAAGAAGAAGAAGAAGAAGAAGAAGAAGAAGAAGAAGAAGAAGAAGAAGAAGAAGAAGAAGAAGAAGAAGAAGAAGAAGAAGAAGAAGAAGAAGAAGAAGAAGAAGAAGAAGAAGAAGAAGAAGAAGAAGAAGAAGAAGAAGAAGAAGAAGAAGAAGAAGAAGAAGAAGAAGAAGAAGAAGAAGAAGAAGAAGAAGAAGAAGAAGAAGAAGAAGAAGAAGAAGAAGAAGAAGAAGAAGAAGAAGAAGAAGAAGAAGAAGAAGAAGAAGAAGAAGAAGAAGAAGAAGAAGAAGAAGAAGAAGAAGAAGAAGAAGAAGAAGAAGAAGAAGAAGAAGAAGAAGAAGAAGAAGAAGAAGAAGAAGAAGAAGAAGAAGAAGAAGAAGAAGAAGAAGAAGAAGAAGAAGAAGAAGAAGAAGAAGAAGAAGAAGAAGAAGAAGAAGAAGAAGAAGAAGAAGAAGAAGAAGAAGAAGAAGAAGAAGAAGAAGAAGAAGAAGAAGAAGAAGAAGAAGAAGAAGAAGAAGAAGAAGAAGAAGAAGAAGAAGAAGAAGAAGAAGAAGAAGAAGAAGAAGAAGAAGAAGAAGAAGAAGAAGAAGAAGAAGAAGAAGAAGAAGAAGAAGAAGAAGAAGAAGAAGAAGAAGAAGAAGAAGAAGAAGAAGAAGAAGAAGAAGAAGAAGAAGAAGAAGAAGAAGAAGAAGAAGAAGAAGAAGAAGAAGAAGAAGAAGAAGAAGAAGAAGAAGAAGAAGAAGAAGAAGAAGAAGAAGAAGAAGAAGAAGAAGAAGAAGAAGAAGAAGAAGAAGAAGAAGAAGAAGAAGAAGAAGAAGAAGAAGAAGAAGAAGAAGAAGAAGAAGAAGAAGAAGAAGAAGAAGAAGAAGAAGAAGAAGAAGAAGAAGAAGAAGAAGAAGAAGAAGAAGAAGAAGAAGAAGAAGAAGAAGAAGAAGAAGAAGAAGAAGAAGAAGAAGAAGAAGAAGAAGAAGAAGAAGAAGAAGAAGAAGAAGAAGAAGAAGAAGAAGAAGAAGAAGAAGAAGAAGAAGAAGAAGAAGAAGAAGAAGAAGAAGAAGAAGAAGAAGAAGAAGAAGAAGAAGAAGAAGAAGAAGAAGAAGAAGAAGAAGAAGAAGAAGAAGAAGAAGAAGAAGAAGAAGAAGAAGAAGAAGAAGAAGAAGAAGAAGAAGAAGAAGAAGAAGAAGAAGAAGAAGAAGAAGAAGAAGAAGAAGAAGAAGAAGAAGAAGAAGAAGAAGTTACCGGTACCTCCACTTTTTATAGTATATATAAATGTTATCTGCATTTTGACCAAAGTGTTTTGGCTAAAATCCAAGTTAATAAAGGCAAACGTTGTATAAAGTTCAATTAAAAGCGATGTAGAATTAAAAAGAGAAAAACTGAATCGTTGTCATTGCAATGGGTGAGAGAGAAAAGAGGGGATTATCTTCTTAGCTACTAACGCTGGCGTCGAAATATTGAACCTAAACCGACAGCTGCTATGATGTGTACATGTTCAAAGAATTAACATTCCATATTTAAACCTTTGCATTCATTGCACCTAAAGAGGTGTGAAACATCTGAATTTTGAAATGACGAAAATCTGAATATAAAAAAAATAAAAAATAATCGAATCTTTCATTGACAAATGTTATTCTGTAAAATTGCAAGCTGTCAACTGCAAGCATATTAAAAAATAGACACATCGTTTCCAGGCTGAATACAAATAATGTTAGTATTTTCTCCAATTATTTTGATAAACAAAGAAACAAATGGAAAATAAAGAAAAACAATTAAATCTGTGAGTGTTAATAGAATGATCTCCCGAAAACACCTCATCCACAATTTCTAGTTAATGATATAAATAATTACTACAGGAGAAAATACCTCCAATATTATTTCATGTACACACGTTCATATACACACAAATAAACACAGACACGGACGTGTACAAATACACAGATATACACAGACACGTACAAACACGAATTCGTAATTTTCTGTTTTGTCTTACATAAATAAATATTCACACATTCTTTTTTGGTTGCAAATAACGCTAAATAGACTGCACGCACACGTTCGCACGCAAACGCACATGTCTATCTATCTATCTATCTATCTATCTATCTATCTATCTATGTGTTGAGGATTCCGGGATGAAATCCGGTACCAATAACTAACAAACGCCAGGAATGAATATCCTACTAGTAGATTTTCTGTTCCTACATTTGGGTGCCTTGTCACCCCTTTTCCACACGCAAGACAGTTTTTATATTTAAAACGACAATCCTTATTACAGTGTAGTCCTCCACATCGATAACATGCAGATGGGGGGGGGTTATATTTGCTTTGATTTTCGTCATTATTTGCTCTGAACGTTGTACTTTTTTCATTATTATAGAATTTTTCTTTTCTTTCCAGGGGGCGTGAAAAACGTAAACTTTTGTTTAACTTACGTATATGTGATACTCCTGACTCCTCAATATTCTTCTAGTCTTTCTTTATACTCAGACATTATTGACAGTTTTCCGATAGTTTTTGTACTGTTAATCCAGGTTCATTTTGCAGTTTTGAAAGAATTCTTTTGCGCTTTTCACTATCTTTTTCTGAGACTAACCCTTGTACAAAAATAAGACACTTGGAATTGTACGGGGTTGATTCTGCCAACGTGAAATCGTCGCAATGTTTATTCACGATTACGGCGAACGTGGAATAGACCTCATTTTCATCCTTTACGAGGTTAAGACATTTCCAGATTTTGTGAAAAGGTGACGTTTTCGGGCTAAAAAGCTCCTTCAGGCATGTAACTGCTTCATCAAACGTTAAATCATTTGTCTTCATTGGCAAAATGTAATCCATGAATTTTGTGTATTCTTCCGTTCCTAATTTTCTGAGTAATAGTCGTAGCTTCTTTGCTTCTGTCCAGTTTTGACAATCGATGTTGAAGATGTCTTCATGACGTCTGAAAAAGTCTCCGAAATGTTTATCCTCTTCTAGGGAATATTTGAATGGTTCTATCGTGTTCCATACTGCGTCTTGAGAAAAAGTCGCCTCTTTTTCAATATTTTGTTGTTGTGTATTACTCGCTACTTTTACAATTCGCTCCTGGAGTTGTATTTTTCTTTCTTCATTTTGCATTTGTCTTTCATGATTTCGCTTCTGCGTTTGTAGTAATATTTTTCCATTCTTTCTTGGAATTGTAATTGCTATTCATTTTGTCTTTCTTGAAGTTGTATTTGCTGTTCATTTTAGTATTTTACAAGTTGTACTAAAATACTTTTAAAATCCTCCATGATAAGAGTCTTCTGAAAAACTCGATTTTCCGTATTTTAATCCTCGTAACTCTTTGTTACTCAGTTGTTGTGGATACTAGCAAAACGGCAATTTTCTCTTTTGAGTCTACGAGAAATGGAAATTCTTGTCGTCCAAGCTGTTGTGGGGAGAAGGGAGAAAATGTTTCTGTCCGTGTAGGTCCCAATTCCACGTCACCAAGTTGTGGTCGTCAAGGGAGAATTATTTTCTTTGTTCTCTTCCTATGTGAGTTCGAATTTCCTCGTCGCCAGGTTTACGAGGGAAAATTTTGTTTTTTTATTGTTCTTCCCGTGTGAGTTCGCTATCCTCGTCACCAAGTTGTTGTGGATTCCGGGATGAAATCCGGTACCAATAAATAACAAACGTCAAGAATGAATATAGGAAAATAATGTATTAACGTAATAATACAAACTGGTAATGCAGGTTAGTAGTTCCACGAATACGGGTTAGTAGCAAAATATCTATACAGCCTTTGGTATTGAAGTATCGCTGTATGACTTCTTACTGAGTCTACGTGCTCGCTCACTGTGACTCTTGCTCGTTACTTTCGTTCTGTCTGTCTGTCTTTCTGTCTGTCTGTTACCTACAGTCTCGGTTGCTCCCGTCCCCCGGGTCTTCACCTAGCAGTAGTATATGTATATACTGGGTGGGTCCATTTGTGTAAAAAGGGGAGGACCCCTCAACACTGTTCATATCTATCTATCTATCTATCTATCTATCTATCTATCTATCTATCTATCTCTGTTCATATCTATCTATACATATATATATATATATATATATATATATATATATATATATATATATATATATATGTGTGTGTGTGTGTGTGTATATATAGAGTTGGTTCCCATATTGTATTTATTTCTATGCTTGGTCGGCTCAGGAGATTTTTTTGTGGCCTAGCATATGTGCTGATTCCTTATGTTTACGAATTTTCCAATGGTGTTCCTGTCTATGATCTCAACATGATCCCACAGGGGCTGTGATCTCCCTTCTCTCTCCATATGCTAGGCCACAAAAATCTCCTGATCCGATCAAGCATAGAAATAAATACAATATGGGAACCAGTAATAAAGAGTGCCAGAGAAAAGCAATGATAACAAAATTGCAATATCAGCTCTGGTAAAAACATGCAATGATAACAGCAAAATTGCAATATGAGCACTGGTAAAAAATGGTTGCTGAAAACTTTAGGTTTATGATACCCAGAAAATCATACCCAGATGTCCTCAAGGACACATGGCACAGTGGATAAAGTCGTTGGTTAGATCCAGTGACAGAACCCAAAGAGTGTGAGTTCAATACGCAGAGGGTAAATTAACAGGAGATAACTAATAACTGACATCCATTAAACGTGGAACCAGAACAGTATACCTCAGTAAGCGAAATAAAGTGTTCAATTCGATATTCCAACCACCTGAAGAAGGCCGGAGTTTACAAAGATGAGGACAATAGTCCGAATAATGTAAATAATGTACATAATACCTCATCTCAGAAATATAGACATATATATATATATATATAACAGATTTCAATCTATCTATCTGCGACAGTCTGTTCCATGTTTAAATGTAATCTATGAAACAGATTGTCAACGCTGTGTATTGACGTCTGTTTTCATTTTTATATTTACCTATTTTCTGTCTCTGATATTGAGCAATTTTTGCATCTTTTTATCATTTCACTCCCAACAAAGCGGGAATACCACTAGTACACAGGGGACTACACAGAATAAAAGTGAGAGAAAAGACTGAGTATATGGATGATTGAGGAAAAGATAAAAAATGAAAGTCTTCAAAAAGATAAAAAATGGCATTTGACGTAGCATTTAAATTTTTGAAGATTGTGGATGTCTGAGAAGCAAGCAGACGGAAGGGAGTTCCACAGAGGGGAAGTGCGAGAAAAGAAACTGTTGGAGTCGAAACGGCTGTTACATTTAACAAATTCAACAGCAAAAGTGTTGGACCTAGATATCAATCGAATAGTACGTTTAAATACATGTCGTCGAGGCACCAGGAAAGAAAGTTTTTCAAAGCAGTGAAAATATTGGTAGAAAAAACAGAGACAAGTGGCATCGGTGGGAAAGTGACTGAAATCGAGATGCCAAGTCAGGATCTATTATATTGCAGATCCATCGGATCTTATCAAAAACATTGAGATGAATAGCATAACCAATAGACCAGATATGGCAGCAGTAGTCAATACACGGACGAATGCTATATTTGTAAATGTAGAAGATGAACTGACGAGATGAAGTTTCTTGAACGATACAGTTAATCACCGTTCCTTTCATTAGATGCAGCTATCGATATGATGTAGTCGTTTCACTTCAAGTCAGGCCAAGAAGGGCCAATTTGCTGCTCTCCAACAGTCCACGTATCAGCCATGCTGATGACAGACAGAAAAGTTTCTCTAGGATGGTTAAATGGGAAAAGTTCTGTTTTGAGGCATTACCTTAATACTATATTTTCATCACATAAAAGTGTCACAAAAAAATTTTCAAAAAATCTTTCAAACAATTTTTAATATATAAAAATGTATACATATTGTATTTTATAATGTATTTTATATAAAAATGTATATATCGTTGTCCGATACATACACACACACACACACACACACATATATATATATATATATATATATATGTGTGTGTGTGAGTGTGTGTGTGTGTGTATTTAATTGTATATTTAATAAATGTGTATATATATATATATATATATATATATATATATATATATATATATATATTGATATAATAGAATATGCGTACACCTGTGTTCCCCCTCACTAGAATATGATTGGCTGGTGTCCGTCATAAATACCGACGGACGTGTAGGAGAGTGAAAGCCTTAGTCTAGAGCTAAATCTATAACGACGCCCATTGGACTACGCCCTTGATCTCCACTTCTTAACTGGGACTACGACGCTTACCAGTCGATTACTTCTACCATATTACTTGATTATAGTAGCAAAAACCACTTTTCTTGAAGACGAACATGCCAAATTTTATCGAACACCTTCGAGATATCTAGAGCCACAATTCGCCGTTTATATTCAGTTGTGGCCGCGAGCACATCAGTGGTAGACCGGGCAAAGCGGAATCCATATTGTTTGTCAGAGAGTAGGTCATGAGAGGTAAGATCCTTAATCACTTCAGCATTGATTAAAGCCTCGAAGACGTTGCGGAAAAGCCGTAGGAGACTAATAGTTAGGTAGAGGGGTAAGAATGTTCACCAAATTTCGCAAATACACGGTCTACAGACGAGAACTTCAAACAAGCTTGAAAGAAGAAAACATCGAGACAATATTTATATAGTTTTCAGACAACTTGGACCAGCATATTTCTTTAGGACAACGGCTGATATTCCATCAGCTCCACTTGCTAAATGGGGGTCTAATTTAGATAGAATATCCGAGACTAGCGACGGTGTTATGCACATATCACTCAGTAGAGCATCAGTTCTAAGGGAAAGAGAGATATGGGACCACCAAATGAGTCGAGTGTTGAGTTGGATGAGAATTTCCGAGCAAAGCATCCAGTCTTATCTGCTCCTGTGTGTCAGGACTTCGAATTGGTTGAAAAGAGGAGGGATTAAGAATTTGCTGAATCTCTTGAACCGAACTTGCTAGGTGATATACGCTGGTTCATTCTATCAGCAAAGAGTAATTTGTCTTCACTGAGGACACACTTCTATTCGATCCGAGATGAAGCAAAGATACGCCTACTGAAATCGGACGTGTCGCCTTAGTACAGTCGGAAAAGTGATTAATTTGGGTTGTAGACCCAGATGAATGCGTTTTAACTTAGTATTTCATAGCTGAAATGAAGACATCAATGCCGGCTTTTACCTAGGAGGGGACCTCAGACACGCATTTCTGAATGGGGGTGATTAAAAACCACATTCCAAGAGACGTCACAAAGGAATGTGTAGAATGATTCCCAATCTGTTCGTTCATAGAAAAGACATGGCGAGGGGGGAGGAGTAGAAGGAGATGTTTACAGATAATAAAGCGAGATCAGAATTGCTAAGAGGGCAGAACTGCGTAGTATGACAAGTGTTATGGATAGAGTTAAAACAGTGATCGAGAAGAGAGTCGCTTCCGTCAGGGTCACTGGGGAGAAGAATGGGGAAGTCACCCACTTGCGTGAGAGATTGAGTGATTGAGAAGTTAAGAATTTGGATACCCTTCAGGTCAGTGGCAGAGTGTTTAAACCACCTGCGATGATGGGTGTTGAAGCCTCCGATCAAGAATATTTTTGCAGACTGATGTAGGGAGAATGCCTTGTCTATATTATCGGAAATGCTATCTAAAACGCAACAGTCTTGAGAGGATGGAAACGGTAGAAAAAAAAAAGATAGCTGACTGACTTAAGTATAGAGAGGAGGACACACAAGTATGAGTGACCTGAAGATTCAAGATAGGGTTCCCAACCGGCGGAACATGTTCGCGGACATAAAACCATCAAACCATGCATGTGGACTTTAGAGTCCTTTCTAATTAGAGGACAGTAACCAGGAATCGAGAAATCAGAGGAAAAGATAGAAGAGTTAAACTCACAGAAAGCTAGAATGTCAGGATACTTTTCAAAAATGAAAGATTCTACGCCGCAGAAGTTGATACGAAATCCACAAATGTCGGAGAAGGGAAGGTTAAACGGTTTACGTGATGTTTGTTGGCCTGGTTCAGTTTTATATGTTTCGTTGAAGTCATGAAGTTTTCTATTGATAAGTAGAAGGCTTAATAGGGTAGCATCCTTTGGTCATTTGATGTGACATATGAAGAAGGGAAATGGCACAGACTACAACATATTGTGGCCATGGTGTTGCCCATCGAAGATTCCTTCAGGGACACCCATCCATGCGCTACGTAGCACTGCAAGAACTCAGATATTATGCAACTGTTTGATCAGGGCATCCTCTCAAGACGCTACGCAAGAGTTCAAGATGCTTACTTCAAGTTGGGAACGGCAAAGAGAAAACTGCCAACCCGGTAACCTCAGTATGAAGAGTAGTTGCCACCGACTACACACATCACAATAAACTCACGAAAGCGTCACTATTACGCCCTGAGGAAAAAAAAGAAACCGGAAACCCATTCCTACACATGAAACAAAGGGTGACCCTCTACTCCTGTTCAAGAGAGAAAAAATAAAACAACTACAACAATAACAAATCCCAGTTTGACATACACATACATCATTACACAAAACTATACATGTGCATGTGTGGAATATAAAAAAAAAAACAATCTAATTTGAAAATAAGTTTTAAATTCCGAATACTAATTTTTTTTGGAATGTGATAATCATAACCAGACCTGTTGACTGAAAACGAAAAAGAAAAAAACAAGAAAAAAAAACAGAGTAGATGCTACAACACCGGAGAAAAAAAAATAACACTGTCTTAGTACAAAAATTAGTAAAAACAAGTTCAATTTAATACTAGAGACGACAAAATGTAAGAAATGCCAAGTTAACAAGAAAACATATATCACATTCGGAAAAAAGTAAGGAGTCTTCCATTACGGTCGGCAAGATTCCTTTCATTGTCATCGGCAATTTGGCCAAAGTAAGTTTTGGTGAGTTAAGTTTCATGCCATAGTTGAGATTTGTGATGGGGTGGGATTGAGTTGTAATGTATTACTAACGCTTTTCATTTTTCAGTGGTGGTGGGGGGCAGTGAGTCTTCTTTCTTCCTTTAAAGAGAGAAAGAGAGAGTGATTGAGAGAGAGAGAGAGAGAGAGAGAGAAAACACTGAACAACTAACATTTTCAAAGCATATAATTTCTCCCAGGTCAGTGGACCAAAAACAACAACAACAAAAAAATACAGAGTAGATGAGACGTCACCGAGGAAAACGTTAACACTTTCGTAGTACAAAAATTAGTAAAAAATCAACAAAAAAAAAAAACAAGTTAAATTTCATCGTAGTGACGAAAGAATATAGTTAACACGATATTCGATATTATCTGTCTGGAATGCAACACTTGAATCAAAGTTTCAATATTCACTTGATCTGATAGAAAGCAGTGTCCAATTACTTGTATAGATTTATTGTCATTATATAACTGGGATTCTTTCGTTTTATACATAGATAAAATCATTAAAAAGATTTTTTTCACTGAAGCTCTTATTCTTTTGATTGTGAATTTAAATCTTTTCGTTTAAGTTTTCAGAGTTTTGATGTTACAGCGTCAATATAACAATTATCGAAAATATCGTTCGTTTGTTTTTAACTTATAAAACAAGATGTGGCGTCAAAAAAAGAAAACTTAGGTACAAGTGCATACGCCATAACAATTTGAATATCTAACTGCATCTTATTTGAAAAATGTTTTCTATTTTTTTCTCTCTAATATGGATTGTTTTTTTTTTTGTTTTTTACAAGAATTTATATTGATGATTTTTTTCTTTAATTCCAAGTAATTTCAGACATAGGTTATCATTATTCTCCATAGATTATTTTTTATATTATCGGTGAATTACCATGAAATGTCCGGAAACATCATGGAGAGGTTTCCTGTTGCTATTGCTATGGTTTGAAATTCTGTTTAGTTTCTCTTAGACTCGAGAAATTGGCAAGGCTAGAGATACCAGCTTATCGTGCTATTTAACTGATAGATTGCGGGAGTAGATATGAAGTCTTTCTTTCTCAGGTGTATTTGGTGGAAAGTGAATGCATCAGAGCATCTCAGAATTTGAACTCGGATTGACGATTCCAAATTTCACGACGATATCCGTTATACTACCTGCACATTATTATTATTACTTTTATTTCCTTTGATTTCTAGCGTTTGCCCATTTCTTTGCGGGTCCCGCCCAGGGATCTAAGTTTAGAAACATGACACTTTCCACTGACAAAAATATTTACATAGATAAAGCCCTTCGTAAATTGTGGGCTGTACTTGTGAGAACATTTTTTTGTATCTCCTTGAGGCATGGACTTCCAGGAATCCCTTCAATTAGTCTACTGGAATCTTTTCCAACCGATCCTAAGGCTCCAACTACAACAGGGATTTTTGATGTTCCCATGTGCCGAATTTTTGAGATTTCGATTTCAAGGTCCTTGTATTTTGACAGCTTTTTGAATATCTTCAAAGTCTGCAAGGACTGCCATATCAATAAGGAGGCACTTTTTTTTGCTTGTGGTCTTTAATAACAATGTCTAGATTATTATTATTTTCTTCTTCTTCTTCTTCTTCTTCTTCTTCTTCTTCTTCTCCTTCTCCTTCTCCTCCTCCTCCTCCTTCTTCTTCTTCTTCGTCTTTGCTGTCCTCCTTCAGAACGTTGGGTATGATAGCTCACCACAGGCGCCTGCGTTTGCAGATCTTCAAATTTTTTGATAGCTCTCCAAAACCGTGTCCTGCCAATAATTTACAGATAGTCGTTAGCCAGGTTACGCGTTTTTGTTTTTTTCTGTCTCTCTTGCCATTAATATATCCTGTGAGTTTCAAATTTTCAAAACCCTCTTTCCTTCTTTTGTGGCATAGAAATTGTCTGTCTCTTTTAAATGTTATGTCTAAGTGTCTTTGTTGTTTCCCCTTTTATTCAAAACTTGCTCTATCCTGTTCATAGTCTTCCTAACATTGTTATATGAAATCAGATTTTGTTTTCTTCATACCTCTTTTTGCATCTGCCATATAGAACCGAGATTACTTCACAGTTTAGTCTTATTCTCTTTTCTGTTTCTAAGGAAATTTTTTTTCTTAATGTCATTCTTAGATTTTGGAAAGCATCTTTCGTTGTCCGAATAAGCCTTCGAATTTCGTTGTTGCACTTTCCGCTTGGGAGGCAAGGTGGAGAAATGGATAGCGGCTCGGATTGAGGAATAGGAGAGATGATTTTGAAATCCAGTCGAATCTGTTACATTCACTTACGTGATAATAACCTTGAGAAAGGTATGAATCCTCTTGAAACAAACCCCCACCTATGGGTAAATAGCAGCCGAGACCGGATGTTATAACCTTGGATTGTAACTGGTTTACCGCAGAATGAAATACCAACCTACTGCAAGAAAAAATCTGCCTTGTCAGGCATGTATCGAAAGGTGCATGATCGCCCACGCGTGTATCACGCATGGTACGTAACTGACTGACTGTCTTTTCTCTGTTGAAAAGCTTTCCAGATATATATTTTGTATTTGCTTGATTTTTGTATCTCCAAATAGTAATTAGCATGTATGACCCTTCCGTTTGGTGAAAACCATACATTGTTTTCTTGCAATTGACGGTTTTGCATTTCTTCTTTCTTTGCTTCTTTAACATTTGCATAAGTTCCACGTAAATACTGAGTATATAATTAAGTAAGTGTATTCCTGTTTGCCGTATGTTACACAAATCTAGCTTAATAGCTATAAAATAATTGAATAATATTCTATACTTCTGCATTGAAAAAAAACTATTCTTCTCATAGCATTCTATAAATTACTCATAAATGTATTGAACATTTTAAAACCTTTTTCAATGGCGGTTTATTTTTCATCAAATTTATGTATCAAGATGGTTTAATGATTTAGTCTGTTATATATATATAAGGTTTTCGATTGGGTTCAAATCCGGAGAATTTGCTGGCCACTTTATTTTTTGAGGTCCATCGAAGCCTAACTGTTTCAATATTCAGTAGTCTTGTGAGCAGCATGTGAGGGAGCATTATCTTGCATAAAAACAATGGCCCTTCTGAAGGCAACTCTTTGCCTTTTCATCCACGTTTCAAGATGCTTCTTCATAAACGCTACGTATGCATCAGCAGTCATTTTGACGCCATCTGGTACTCTCCATGGGCCCACTAATGTTTTTCCAATAATACCACCCCAGATTATTATGCATCCACCGCCTTGTTGGATGACTCTGTCCGTTGATTACCCAGCCTTTGCACCATCTATCTGGTCCATCAAATGTTGCTCGAGTTTCGTCTGGAAACAAAACTTTAGAGAAGTCAATATTCATATTGTCCTCGGCCCATTTCAATCGATTTTAAATGTGTTTTCTCGTCAACGGAGGCTTCAATACAGGTTTGACTGTTGATGCTATTTCTCTCAGATACAGACACCGAGTACTTTTAGACACAGTAGGATCCTCAATGCGACTGAAAAGCTCTTGACTGGTAAGTCCAGGGTTCTTCGAGGACTCTCGTTTAAGTCGTGACATGAGACGACGTGAAATAACATTCGGCTTCCCTTGATCTGTCCTTTTGCGTACTTGTGTAGGGGCGGCGGTGAACTTTTTTACTGTTTGATGACACCTCCCTATCATTTTAGAAATTTCTAGGGTAGATTTACCTTTTGAGAGTTTTGAGGTGATAGTTTTCTTTCCAGCATCACTTAAACTGCTTTTACGGCCCATCTTTTCACTAAATTCTTACACATTTCTAATAATTTGGCACACTCAAATCACCGTGCTGATAAAAAATATGGCGCCAGGTTGTTTACAGTACGAAAATTTCAGTGATTATGCAGACCAGTTTTGTCAAAATTGTGTGAAAATCTTGTGTGAATTGATTGGATGGTTTTTGAAATATTAGAAAAAAGCTTCACAATAATAATTTGGCACGCAGTGAAAATATAATAATTAGAAGATCTGTCAGAAATAGTGAAAACTTGTAAGTTCATGATATATATATATATATATATATATATATATATATATATATATATGGGGTAATATATATATATATATATATATATATATATATATATATATACCCCCTGTGCAAAGTAATTAGAGCAACCGCTTTACTTTACTTTCTTTCAGTCTAAGACCAGTCATTGAACCTCAGGTGTGACATGGTGTAATCGATTTCTATTTTTCCTCAGATTAGGTGATTTACAGTGGTGTGCAGTAATATGAATCTATTTTATCTGTACAGTGTAAGGAATCTATATCTATATATATATATATATATATATATATAGAGAGAGAGAGAGAGAGAGAGATAGAGAGAAAGAGAGAGAGATTGATAGATAGATTGATAGATAGATAGATTCCTTACACTGCATATCATCCAGCTGTTGCGGGTCCATCGTGTGGAAAAGCTTCATGGGCCGAAACTTTGCTGAAGCACGGCGCTCAGCTGAAGATTGCAGCTGGTCTGGAGCACTTGTTGTGTACTTGTGTTCAATACCTCTGGTTCTCCAATGGCAACCATGAAAATATGGTGACAACCGTGATATTGCGGTGACGGCTGTGGGGCGTGAGGTGCCTGCCCTGAGTTTGTGTTCGCGAGGACCAACGCTTATATGTGATCACGTTCTACAACAGTTCTTTATGGTCGTTGAGGACTGGCCTGCGCATATAGGGATGGTGTGATGGGAAACCATTTGAAGATCGAGACCGCCTGAAGTCTGGCAAACCGAGGACCAGTATGTCATCTTCCGGCCCATCCGTGGATCAGGTAGAGTCGCCTCTTTCATGTCGGATGTAAAACCAGGCGACATGCTACAGTTATAATGGGTAAGAATATGGACAAACAATCTGGTATTGACAGCTGTGATAGCCAGAGGGAATGTGATGGCTGTAAAAGAGTCTTCAAATCGGTGAAGGGTCGCAAGACAAAGATGAAATGTGGCAGTGATTCAGTGGCAAAGAAGCGCACGGCAGTAGTCGTTAAGTCGTCGGAGTGTCAGGACCAGGATGAACACCACAGTGTCCTGCAGGATCCTTTCTTCGAAGCTGAATCTAGTCGCCGAGTTATCAAATGGGCTTCCTTGGTGGATAGGGACTTATCAGCAGCCGTCCAGACACTCCAGGGGGATCCAGTTAGGAAATTCGCCAGCTTGGGAAGATAATCAGTGACTATGGGGTCACCAGGTTTTGGTTAAAGGAAGTGAAAGCTAAGTTCTTAGATCCAGTGCAGGTTAGTCGGCGGCGGAGAACCATCCAGTCATTGAGGAAAGAGACGCGAAGTTTGCGAGCAGCAATGCGGGCTGATGAGCAGAGGGCAGAGGAAATCAGGCCAATCCTGGAGGACATAAGGAAGCGCATTAGCAAACTAGGGTAGAGCGGAACGGCTTGCCAAAAAGAGACAGAAGGCTGCCAAGGCCCGGAAGTCATTCACGGAAAGTCCGTTCCCCTTCACGAAGCAGTTGTTTAGGGAGATGACTAGCGGAGCGTTGTGTGTTGAGCGGGAGGAGCTGGAGAGTCATTTAATGAGCACTTTATTCGGATGCCAGCAGAGATGTCACAGACGAGGTGATGCCAAGTTTATTCAGGCCTGGCGCCCCGGAAGTAGCGTTTGATGAGTCTCCAGTGACTTGGAAGGAGGTCCAAGGCGTTGTACGGAGGGCAAGAGCGTGTTCTGCGAGTAGTCCTAATGGGGTGACATAATCTGTCTACAAGAGGTGTCCCAGGCAGCTGAGGTGTTTGTGGAGGCTTCTTGTGAAGATTTGAGAAGTTGGTGATGTTCCGGACTGTTGGTGTCGAGCTGATGGGTTATATATACCGAAGGAGGAGAATTCGTTGACTTTTAGTCAGCTTCGCCCAATATCTCTCCTGAACGTTGAAGGGAAGGTGTTTTTAAGTTATTTTCCAGGAGGCTGACGGGGTAACTGCTTAGGAATAACTATATACACACTAGTATTCAAAAGGGGTTTCCAGGTTGCTTGGAACATGTGCCAATGATTTGGGCAAAGATCCGTGAGGCTAAAATTAAAAGGAAGAATATTCACGTCATCTGGCTAGATCCTGCTAATGCGTATGGTTCAGTACCGCATAGCATGATACATTTGGCACTCAAAGGACATCTACGTTCCGCAGAGACTCACAGATTGTCTGGCTGTCGAGTTTTTCGACGACGAAGTACACTACAAAGTATGTGGAGCTGCAAAGGGGATTTGCTATGGGATGTGCCATCTCTCCAGTACTGTTTGTGATTGTGACGTAAGTGATCTTGAGAGGTCTGACGCCAGAGGACCGCTTCCTGAAGAATGAGGTCAAAATCCGAGCATTTATGGATGATTTGACGATAATTCAAGATGAGAGAAAAGTAGCACAGTTGGTTCTGGATAGACTTGCAGAGTTGGTAGAATGGAGTCAGATGGCCTTCAAACCGAAGAAAAGCAGGTTCTGTCATACATGAAGTGTTTTCCATCGCAGGTGAAAGTATACCAACAGTGCAGGAGCAAGGTGTGAAGTCTTGGGAGGTGGTATAACTTTCCTGTGACAGATCGTCACCATGGGATTGAAATCCAGCAACAAAGGTGGGCCTGCAAAGAATAGATCAATGTGGGCTTCAATGAAAATTTAAGGTGTGGTGTATGCATTTTGGATCTATGCCTAGATTAATATAGCCGCTGACTATATATGAGGTGGCACTGTCTAGAGTTGAGATAATTGAGAGGAAAATTAGTAAATGCATTGGTATTGCAATGATTCTGCCGCCGGTCGCTTTGTATGGCATTTCGGGGGTGGGGGCTTCAGTTACCTCTTAATACTCTGGTGGATGAGTACAATGTGGCAAAGGTGAGATTGCAGTCCATGCTGTGTGAGTCTAGGGATGCTGTAAACCGGAAGAATGTGCCAGAGGTGAAGTGGAAAGTGTCAGATGTGATGTCAGCAGTGTAAATGACGGTAAAGCAGGTAGAAGTTCAAGGTGTTACAAAGAAGAGACGTGCTGGCCATGGTCTAGTTGAGAGGGAGAGATTCTGGTCAGAGGCCAGTCGACAGAAGCAACGCAAGTTACAGGAACAGGGGGTTCGAAAGCTCGAAGAGGAGAGATGTTTAGTGCGGACTGCCCAGCAGGCTCAGCAGGTTCGATGGCTTAACTGGGAGGGTATTGAGGGTGTTCAGATCAGTTTGTCTGATTCGCGGCGTCTAGGCGCAGGACATTTGAGGTTCCTCATACACGCAGCATATGATGTGTCAGCATCACCGGCAAATTTGAAGAGATGGAGCGTGCAGGAGTCACCCTCCTGCCGTTTATGTGGTTCTTATGGAAACCTGCGCCACATACTGTCAACCTGTCCAAAGGCTCTACAGAATGGCTGGTACACCTAAGATATAATTTGGTTCTGGAGCCCATCGCATCAGCTGCAAGAAATGCTAGAATACCCTCGTTAGACCTGCGAAGTGTCGCCTTCCTGAAGCAAGGTGCGACTGTCACAAGGCAGAAGACCAGGTCGGAAAACTCAAAGAAAGTGGAGAGTGTTGGTTGATGCCACACTGCCAGTGGAGGTCATTGTGTCTGTTCTGAGACCAAATCTGGTTTTAGTTGATATTGAGAAGCAACATCTGTTGCTTGGCGAACTGGCAGTAGCATGGGATGAAGGGATTGAAGAGGCGCATGAAAGAAAGTTGCTTCGGTATAAGGAACTGGTGGCTGAAGTCCGTAAGAGAGGATATGGTTGCACCCTGTTGCCATTTGAGGTTGGCTATAGAGGATTTCCTGCTGCCTCTCTAAAGAGATTCTTCAAGTGTGCTGGGATTCAAAAGCCGGATAAGGTGATAAAGGCTTGTGGTGAAAAAGCAGTGGAAGGAAGTGTATGGATTACCCAAAAATTCTTATCGAGTCGCATCCAATTAACATTCACCGGTTGCAACATAACCGTGTACTTGTGCTGTTCTCTCTCTCTCTCTATATATATATATTATATATATATATATATACACTTATATCTATATAGACACCCCCCCACACACACATATATATATATATGTATATATATATATATATATATATATATATATATATATATATATATATATATATTGTCATCCACAGACAGACTCTTTCGCTGTAGGACAGCTCCTCATTGTCTCTAGACGTCCGATCTTTTCAAGCCGGGATCGACAAAATGAAGGGAATTTTAATGTTTTTCTCAATACGAAATACGCGACTCGGAGAACTCAATTCATAATATATATATATATATATATATATATATATATATATATATATATATATATATATATATTTGAAACGGTACAAAAAGCGTATTAAGGCATTAAAAAAGAATTTTATTTCATATTGTAGGCCATGATAGATTTAAAACAAAACACACACCAGTTGACCCGTTACGTCCCCTCTCATCAGAACTGTTAACGGGGAACTAAAATTATGAGGAAAAGAAAAAGAAAAAGTCTGTCACGGATGACATGAATGAGTGGACAGGGAAAAAGAAATTAGATATTAGATGCTTGGTATAATTTTTTTAAATATTTTTTTTCCTGTCCACTCATTCATGTCATCCATCTTTTCCTCATAATCTTAGTTCCCCGTTAACTGTTCTGATGAGAGGGGACGAAACCGGTCGACTGGTGTGTGTTTTGTTTTGTTTTAAATCTATCATGGCCTACAATATAAAATTTCTTTTTTTTAATGCCTTAATATATATATATATATATATATATATATATATATATATATATATATATTTCATGTCAATAAACAAATATTTCTCTCATGAAATATTTGTTTACTGTTTGTTACAATGTAATGTCATTTCATGGAATAGGTGTGTACGGCTCTCAATAATTTTGTTTGTTTAGTGCCATGTTTTTTGTTGAAAATAATTGCCAGTTGAGTTCATCAAAGTCATAGACTATCCAAAGTATATTTTACCTGCCTGAATGTTATGAACGGAACAGTCTACAGCTGAATTAGAACTTTTCGCGCCGTTAGCCTTCACGCTACCCACACATCTCCTTACTAATTACGTATATATTTTTTCATGTTTTTCTCTTTTGAAACGCTGATAATAGTTTAAGCCTTCAAACTCGCCAATTAATTAATCACTATATAAACTATAAATTAAATCTCTGGCAGTTTTGCTTTCATTAAATCAAGGTTCAAATCTGAATACGTTGTCAGTTAGCTGGACAAATAAAGCAGATTTAATTCCCGATGAACCTTTCCTAGTTGAAATGAAATGGAAACACCATTTTGCTTCTATCAATAAGTGATAGGCTGAAATTAATTCAGACGTAGGCGGAAGAGAACGGGATAAATATTCTGTACATCGGACCTTCTTATTGGATGAATTAGGGCGAAGACATTATCATTATCGATTGTTTTCCGTCTATGTCCAGCATCCAATAAAAGAGGTTAACTTGACCTGCAGACTTATTTATAAGATGGATCCTTTGAACGCAAAGCGCTAAAGATTCCGCGTTGCAAGAATCTATTCATTCTCTTTCTGCTTCTCGTTTTAATTGATACGTTCGGTGAATATTGCCTAAGGGCAGAATTTAATGTTATTATGCTCAAGTCGGATAGATGTATGCAATATATTAATCTGATTGAAACGCGTTACTTATTTGTAAGTTTCGACTAGATGTTAAAGAAAGAAAGGAAAAACCAGACAAAGATTTATTATTTTTCTTCCGTTGTTTACAACTCTGACAGCATTTGCAATTCTCAAAAATTGATATCTGAACTTCTCAGATCAAAGATTATCATAAGAAACTGTTTATCTAACGCGTGATTACTTGGGTAGGGTACATGCGGAAAAATCTTTTGATGTCAACGAACACTCTTTGCCACTTTTGTGATGCCAACGAATACTCATTGTAACTTTTGTAATGCTCGTTTTAGTGGAGACTTTATAATAGCAGGTACAACTATAGTAAGCCGTTGAACAATACTGGTGTCTGACGCCTTCGAATATCACTGGCACGAATAGTATTTGCTCGATAATATATGCTCGAATAGTGAAATAGTATAGAGAATAGCGAACATTATAGTAAAAGAGGATAGAATAGAAATGAGGATACGAATAATAATAGAGGATAGACTAAAAATGGAGATCATCTAGACGTCACGAGACTTCCTATTTATGCTTTTCTTCCATTGGATCGCTGGTGTTTGCTCGCTGGCGATCTGTTTCGGCAGCGTCACTTTATTCCTATATAACAAAAAATATGACCATCTCCACCTGTAATGATGCCTATAATAATTATCTATACCCGGCATGCACAATTAGATATAGAAATGTGTCACACTGATCACAGGAAATTACACGCCGCGCGTATAACTTTATGGATTAAATTACTGTATGCGTTGGTAAAGTTGTCGAAATCACGTAACACCATTATTGTCCGCCGCACAAAATGGTTAATATTTAAAAATACACTAAACTATTTAAGATTCTGTTTTTCCATATTTTCAGATAAGACGTTTAGCCATCTTGTAAGAATCAGTAAAAAATACTTTGCGTTATTCAGCTAGAAAAAGAACACGTTAAAATCATTTTATTTCAGCCCCACTACGCCTTCCCAAAATGACCAATGGTGAGACAAAAAATATCATTCAGGCTTTCAGTAATGGTACTGTAGAATAACAATAATAAACAGCACTTACCGGCGTAAAGGTCCCAGCTAGCGTCCAGCTGGCAGACAAAAATAAAGCAGGTTGTAACTTAATACAAACCCTGCAAACTAACAGATGAATCAAGCTGGTATTTATATAGAAATACCTCCACTCAGGTACCAGCAGCCAATCACAGCCCAAGCAATGGACTATCCTACTTTAGCACAGTGAGATGCTCCATTGCACCATAAATAGCTCTCTTTCTAAAGGTTGGATTATTATTCACTTAGCTTACTCCACAACTGAGTGTTTATCTCCACCACGTGATTTTTCTACAGGTACCAACATTGATACTCTGGCTTCCATCTTCAAAGTCCGTTAAATTAAAAAAAAGGAAAATGGATGAGGAGGTCATAACAGGAAGAGGGATCATCATTTCACCTAAGAGCTAAATACATTTTTACTGTTTAATGTAGAATGCAATAGTGTTATAAAAAAAAAACTTTGGGAATTCCAGTATGATATCTTTAATCATTTTAAAGTACAACCGTTGAAATTATAATTTAACAATTGTACAATTTTGCTGTTACATGATTTGAAAACTTTTGCTGTTACACCCGGTGTATAGGGAGGCATGACTGTCTTTTCTTTTTTGCTTCAAGGTGATAATTCCACTAAGACACAAGATGTTACAAGGAGTATAAGAGAGGAGAAAGGACAAGAAAATAACATGCTTCAGAAAGACAGAGGATGTCGATTTTATGTTTTATTCAAATTTTGGAAGATTGTAGATGACCAGGAAGCAAGAGACTGGAAGAAAATTCCAGAAGTGAGATATTGCCAAAGAACAATCCATTAGAATAGAACTTACCGTTACATCTATTTCATCGGTAATATCTTGAAGCCATGTAACCAATTTTATAGTACACCGAAACTCATGCCACTGAGGAAGAGAATGCATCAAAACAAATGCCATGATATGTTGTATAAAAAAAAGACCGAGAGAAGCCAGGTTACGGCGGTTGGAAAGGGACTGATGTCAAGATGGTTGAACAGGAAATTGATTAATTAAATTTAAAAAAAGACAGTGAAATAATAGCTGAATAATGCTATGCTTCCAGAAAACTGATTTGTTTTTCTTCTGCTTTGAATTACTAAATTCTTTCTGATGATGTCAGAATATTAACTGCTTTAAAAAGGCATGGCGAGCAACAGTCGGTATTATCGTATTTTGTACAATCGTTTTCTATGTTAATACACTCGTGATGAAAAATTTAAGACCACTTGAAATATCTTTTTTTAAAAGAATGTTTTTCATGGAAAAAATTTTAAACATTTCTTACTTAAGGTAATCTCTTGAGACATGCTGAATTCTCACCGGACTTGAACTCAATTGAATATATTTGGGGATGGATGGCACGAGATGTCAAAATAGCAAACAATATTCAACAAAAAATGAACTTCGTGAGACTATTTTCAGAACCTGGAGCAATATTCTTCGCAGCTTAATGGAAACACTAATTTCTAGCATACGCCAAAGAATTTTTGAAGTCATCAAAACCAATGGAGGTAGAACTCATGAAATTTGGTTGTTGAATGTTTTCGTACACTTTTTGTACAATTTCATAGAATTTTTGTCTTTGGTCTTATAATCTTGATCAAGTGTAAAACGCCTCATTTTATAAAAACGTCACTTTCACAATAAATTTATCGGATTATAACTTTTTGTCTTCATAACCTTTTAGATTATAAAATTAGTAACGTTAAGTATGAAATGTTAAATTTTTTTTTTTTTAAATTTTCAAGTGCTATTAAATTTTTGATCAGGAGTGTATTTCCTTTTATGGAATGGAGTGCATGTAAGGGAGTTTTTTTTTTCTTGCTTTATTTATCACTGAACAGCGGAACGAAGAAACTTAAAGTAGAGAGTAAATGTAGAAAATATACAAAATAGTATAAGAACTATTTACGCTTTCTCACCGAATTTACCCAAGCTATATAAACAATCTTAAGAGGACCTAGTTAAATAGGCAGGTTTGATTATCAGTGAATATAATCATAGCAACGAAATA